TCGTTTTGAGATTTCTAGCTTAACTCTTGGTCTGTTTCTACTCTCTTTTCTCTTTCTGGGCCCTTGAGACTTTAAAATATCCCTGACACTACTTTGACTTCCTTTATTATTTTTGGGGCTTCTGCTCAAAAGGAGCTTGGTAGCCTACCTTCTTTAGGTTATTTCCAAGGCTTCTAGGCCTAAAAATTGAGATAAGACATAAATCTAGTTAATATAATTACTATAACTATTGGCTGGTTTTTGTTAAAAAAAATTTGTTAATAAAAAAATTTATTAAGAAACATTAATACTTTTTTTAATTATAAATATTGGGGATATAAAAATTTATTATAATCAATAATATTTAACACACTCTATTGTAATAGCCCTTCGAGATTGGAGGTATTTTGGCACTTTCATTAAAAATTACATGGTGTTTGGTGAACTTTGGGTATAGGTTCATAGGTATTTTGTACCCTTAAAGTTTTTTGTTTTAATTGGGATATTTTGGTTTTTAAAAAATTGTGGGTCCTACTTTTTGTTTAATTTTAATGGCGTTCACATTATTAAGCTCTTTTGAAATTTGAATTTGTAGATTTAAGCCCATAGAAAGTTCATCGTGTTGGGTGAGCTTTTAATATATTTTCATGGATATTTTTTACCCTTAACTATAATTGTTTTTTCAATGATAAAAGTAAGGAAAGAAATTTTTATTTTATTTCATAACTTCATACAAATTTTTGATAAAAATGAGGTTTTGTTAATTTACATATTTTGAATTAAAAATTAATGTTTCAGCATTTACATCATGAGTAATCCTTTAAAAATTTTTAACTTAGTATTTTTCGTAAGTAAGGTTGACAATGTTAAGTTGAAGGAACTAAAAATATATTTTTTAAACTCAAAAGATTAAACTAAAATTTGATGTAAATCCACATTTAGATGGTGATCATGAAGTGGGGATTTTATTGAAAATGACCCATTCAGTAACTTCCAAATAAATAATTTAACTCTCGGTGGCCAAAAAACAAATTCTTAATCATAGACCAAAAATCTTTAAATTCTAAAGAAGAGCATCAGGAGGTATTAGCTATTACTGCAAGGTCTTAGCTACATGCAGGTATCCCGCAGCCACAGTACATGAACATGAAGGATGTGATGACCATATTAAAGTGTCTCTTTTACTCACCACTAGAAAGGGACCGCTGAACTATCATAAATTTGTTTCAAAAATTTCAGGTCCCAACATCCTCTATCTTGCAGTAATAGTTAAGGGGGGACAACCCGTATCGTCCACCACTAGTGGCTAAAAATTTTGATGTTATGTCCTCAACCTATTCTCCATCGTAAATGAGATTTAATTAACTCTTGTATTCCTTTCTATGTGTTCCAAATCGAAGATTGCACCGTAGGATTTTTAAAATCACTTTTCTGAACATCTGAGATATATTTTTGTTTTAGGGTGTGAGGGAGCACTGAACCCTCTAATGCACTAATTTTGCTAGAAGTGCATTATTGAATTCTTCCACTTTCTTAACTCCCTGAGCCCCCATAAAAAGATGGGAGGCAGACTTGGTCCCATGGTTTCTGGTGAATTTTTCTTTTATCATTTGTATACATTTTCATTTTGACATAGTTTCCTTAATTTCTACCTACAAAATACCAGATAAAAATTTTATGGCCATTATTTTCTTTTACATATACACTTCATCCTATCCGTAGATGATTCTTATTCCCTCCGTTCCTTATTATAAGAGACATTTGATGCTTATGGTATGTTTCTATATATAAGAGACACTTACAAGTTATCTCTACTTTTTTGTGTTGATTTACTATTTTACCCATATTTATTATCTCCAACTCACACTCTCTCTCCCTCCCACTTCTCTTTCTTTTATTAATTTAATTGTTCTCTCTCATGCTCTCTTTCTTTATTAATGAGGGCATTTTTGGAAAAAAAATTATACTTTTTACACATTAATTGTTCTTAACTAATTTTAACTGTTTTTTTGATCAACATACTTCGATTATTTGTCTCTTATAATAAGGAACGGAGGGAGTATTATAAGTCAACAAGTAAGGTATTAACAGGAATATCCCATTAACTTGCAACTTTTTACATATAATCACGATATTAAATATTTTTAAATTAGAATTTTTTTTTAAATTTTTACACTATGCCAATGACTTAATTACCTCTATTCCTTTTGGGTAAGGATAAAAATGAATTAATAAAATAATAAAAGTAACAAGATCAAGTCATAGTACCTAAAAATAACTAATAAGAATTAGGGAGTATAAGATCTTTCAACTGTATCCTGTATATGTGCTAATTTAACATAAGAGAAAGAGGAAAAATAAGGACAGAAGAAATGTCTTAATGCAATATATTAGCTAAAAGCTAACACCATGTTTTGGAATTTATATTTTGCGTTATGATAATTCAATCTTCTTCATTTGATTTAATATGTTCATGATACATTGGCATTGATGAAGAGGTGCTCTTTCCTTTCAAATTGTGTATATTTGAAAAAGCAAGAGAAGAAAGAGTAGCTAAATGATGAATTTTGCTCACCACCAATGGAGGTGTTTTTTTTTTCCCCTATGCACAGGTATCCTATTGTTAAAGATACTATCAAACACTAAATATAAATTTGCTTTAATTGAGGGTTCTCTCAAGACCCAAACCTTTTTTCCAATTAGAAGGTTGATTTTGACAAAGTAGTTAAAACTTAAAAGGGTCTTATTAATTAAGAGGGAGAATATGAAGGAAAAAAAAAACAAGAAGAACATTTTGAATTTGATCCAGAAAGTTTAGATGATTGGCCTTTCATACCTGGATCCGATTCTATAACCCAAGTTAGCCCATGATTATTTATTAGGAAAATTTCATTTAAGGACCGCAATTGAGAATTTATATCGAACAACCCTTAAAACATTTTGAAATATCACTGTAAGACCAAAGGACCAAATTAAAATCAAAATTAAAAGTAAGATTACAATAATATCCCTCATTTTTATTTTTTTAAAACATAAATATTAATGGTAGCCAGAGTTCTGGCCACCAGAGGTTGGCTCTCAGGTGGCCGCCGCTAAAGATTGGAGCTCCGGTGGACGGAAGATTTTTCTTTTTTGGTTAAAATAAGGTGATCAATGGAAGGTTTGAACCCATGACCCCTTAGCACACCAAACCAAGCAATTCATTTAATCATGTGATACAAATAAAAATATATATAACAAAACAAACACAAGTGTCCAAGTATAAATGAACAAGTGAAATTTGATAGTTTACAAGTGAAATTCAGGAATTTACAATAAAAATCTGCCAATTTGCAAATAACATAATATAATTCACAACTCCAAATGTAAGTATTTAAGTGCAAATAAGCAAGTGAAATTTGAAAATTCACAACAAAAGTTTATGGATTTATAACCCAAATTTGGCTATTAATAAGAAACACAAGAGAATTCATAACCCAAAATGTAAGTGTTTGAGTGTAAGTGAATAAGTGAAATTCGACAATTTACAAGTAAACTTGAGTAATTTACAACAAAAATTTGACAATTTAAAAATAACATAATAGAATTCACAACCCAGAATATAAGTGTTTGAGCGTAAGTGAATAAGTGAAATTCGACAATTTACAAGTAAAATTCAGCAATTTACAACAAAAATTTGACAATTTAAAATAACATAATGGAATTCACAACCCTAAATGTAAATATTTAAGTGTATATAAGTAAGTGAAGTTTAAAGATTTACACCAAAAGTTTATGGATTTACAAGTGAAATTTGACAATTTACAAGTAAAATTTAGTATTTACAATGAAATTTTCATTTGAGCAAAAGTTTATGGATTTACAAGTGAAATTCACTATTTACAAGTGTAAATAAGCAAATGAAATTTTCGTTGTAAATACTAAATTTCACTTGTAAATCTATAAACTTTTGTTGTAAATCTTCCGATTTCATTTGCTCATTTACACTTAAACACTTGTATTTGGAGTTGTGAATTATATTATGTTATTTGTAAATTGCTAAATTTTTGTTGTAAATTGCTCAATTTTGTTTATAAATTTTGAATTTCACTTGTTCATTTACACTCAAATACTTACATTTTGGGTGTTAATTCTCTTGTATTTCTTGTAAATAGCTAAATTTGGATTGTAAATCCATAAACTTTTATTATAAATCTTCAAATTTCACTTGTTCATTTGCACATACTTACATTTGAAGTTGTGAATTTCATTATGTTATTTGTAAATTGTCAAATTTTTATTGTAAACTGTCGAATTTCACTTGTAAACTGTCGAATTTCACTTGTTCACTTATACTTGCACACTTGCATTTGTTTTGTTATATATATATTTTTATTTGCACCACATGATTAAATGGTTGCTTGGCTTGGTGGTTATATTATTTTTGGTGTGTTAAGAGGTCATGGGTTCAAACCTTCTTTTGAGCACCTTGTTTTTTTTTTTAAAAAAAATCTTCTAGCCACCGGAGCTCCAACCTCTGGCGGTGGCCACCTGAATGCCGATGGCGGCAACTCCGATGACCATTAATATTTATTTTTTAAAAAAATAAAAGTGAGGGGTATTAGTATAATCTTACTCTTAATTTTAATTTCAGTTTAGTCTTTTGGTCTTTCAGTGATATTTCAGAATGTTTTGGGGGATATTTGATATAAATTCTCAACTGTAGTCCTTGAATAAAATTTTCCCTTATTTATTTTATGCAAGCCCATAAATTCTTTTTTCTTTTTATAAACATGAATTCGTTTCTTACAATTTTAGATCAAGGACTTGTTCTCACCTATAATTAATATTTCAAATTTTCAAGAGTTTTTTTGCCATTAATTCATGCAACCGAAGTTGAAACGAAGAATTGTACCCCAAAAAAAAAAAAATTGAAACTAAGAACCTCACGTTTTTTTAACAGTGTAGGTCAAGTGTCGTCTTGTCGGAACGAAGTTTCTTCGGCCTTTTCCCCAATACTAAAACGTAAGAAGCATCTTCATACCGTATAACAATTGTTGGAACAAAGAAATTAGAGAGGGGGCGAAATGAAGGTAGCCTCAAAGGTCATCATTCTCTTCAGAGACGCAAAAGGATTTGCCTCTGCCATCTCCGATGCTTTCCACCCCAACCCTTCCCTGTCTTTGCGCTGCCTGTGAGTTTTTTTGTTGTTTTTTATTTTTGCTCTCGCATTTTCTTCTTCTTCATATTTAATTCCATCAATGGTGTGATCTGAGGGTTTTTATCTTTGTTACAGAGAGGACTCCTTTGAGCTATCCCTGGAGGGTTACGGAATCAAAGATCACAAGGCATCAGGGAGCATTTTTCATTTTGTTAATCCTGGGGGCACTTTCCAGGTTCTCTCTTGCTCTCCTTTTCTTACTTTGTTAATTATTTTTTTTTAGCCAAGTTATCTGGAGGTAAAATAACTATATAGATAAGTTGTATTTAACGAATTAAGCAAGAGGTAGCCATTGTGAGAGGGATTATGTAATAACCATTCTATTCCTTCCCGTCTCTAAACAAAAGGAAACAACTCCAAATTGGGTTATACCAATGCCATCCCCTTCATGAATGAAAGGAAAACTTAAGACTAAAACTTGTGTATGCTGCTTTTGATGCAATGCTTTGAAGACATTTTAAGTCATAGTTTTCAGTAGTAAGGATTAGTAATTCTGGTACCGTAAACATGTCTTTATTGTCAATAGTCTTGAGGGACCTGTTCCCCACCTTCACCTGAGCCATTGAAAAATTGCTATATGGAAGGCTAGGGAGCTTTTCTCAGGGTCCTCTGGGGCTCTCCACTGCGTCAAAAGTTTGTTACTCACATCATGGTCTCTAAGAAAATGGAAAGCTAAAACAAAAATAATAGAAGATTTGGACAGTGTGTTTCTTTCCATGGAAATGGATGAGATGCAACAAGTATTGGTAGCTGATAGAGGAAGAAAATAGGGATGCAAAGAGAATGGGGAAGATGACAAGGAGAGAGAAATGGAGAAGGGATAAAGAGATGAAATAAAAAAAAAAAAAAAAAAAAAAGAATTTGCATACCTTTTTTATTCAATCTCTAAAATTGCATGAAGGTTTGGAAGGAGAACTTTTATACCAGTTTATAAAACTCTGTTTTCAGTATACTATAAATAAAGGAGCGTATAACAAAAGCTGTAATTCTTATTTAGCCCCCAGGTTTTGCTAGTAGCAACCCTACTTTACTCTGATTAACAAAATGAAATGTTCTTTGTTACAATATTGTGATTCTTGGGATAGTTAAAAGTCAAGCTTCGGCTATGCATGAATCATTTGAAGAACGGTGCTAGACAATGGAAGCATTATCTTGATTTCCCACTATAAAGGAAAAAATAGTGTTAAATTAGATAATTCAATAAAGAGTTTGAAGTTCTTCCCTCCACTCTAACAGATGCTCACTTGATATTTTCTGCCATTTTCTACTGCGTCTTTCACTGCTTATGATTATATTGATCATACGCACTGACATTGATATGCAGCATTGTGAATTGGTGATAAGCCAGCAGATTGTAATACCTTTTATCCAACATGGGATGTAAAGTAGAAATAACAACAGCAATAAAAAATGATTGGAGAATGCCCAGATTATCAATCCTCTTTAAAAGTTCATTAATACTTCTGATAAACAGGAATCCATGGAAGGAAAAAGGGGGGGAGGGGATTCAGAAATTCACACAACACTGTATGTCTGTCAAAAGCTCCCCCTACTCAAGCCTTGGGCTCCCGTTTATTGCAGTTGCCCATCCAACAGTTAAAACTACCCAATCAGCTAATTTGCGCACACCTTACATTATATAGCTGTTCTTGGGCCTCTTTCTCCCTGGTTTTTGTTACTTACCATGGATGCTATTACTATGGGCGTTCTTGGTTTTTCCCTGTGGATTTTTTTCGGCACTATGCGGCTTTCAGTTTTGCTGTCTAATGTGTTAAGAAGGTTAACAAGTGGTCCCCAGTGAGGCTAGTGATATGAAGATCCCTCAGGATTTTACTATTTCCTTCATATAGAAAATTAAGTGGCTTAAATTCTTAGATAAATTTATTTTTTGGGAACCCTAATTTACCCTGGGTATTATTTATCTATGAAATATGTGCTGCCTGTTCTGAATGTACTCATGGGAATTGAGCTTTATCGCCTGTCTAATGTCTCTTCAAATCTTCCTTCTTATGAGGAGCCAGTTTTCTTCCTTTTATCCTCTTGCACTTGAACTTCCCCACATGATTTGACCTTGACTTTCCCAATTTTGACACAAAGCAACCACTTTTGCCCTTACCATTGAACCTTTGTCATTGTCGGCTTTTTATCAACTCAAACTTGATGATCTTATTGTCCCAAACTTGTCTCCACCAACAGCATGACAAAAACTCAATTTATCTCAAAGATAGTCAGTGTGTTAATCACCTTTAATAATAGATTCCTAGATTTTCAATTTTCCTAACAAAGCTAATGAGGGGAAAAGCTTTAGTATGCTTAATGAAATCAAAAGGTGCATATGGAGATTTGTAGTAATTGAGCACCTTGATATGACGGGAATGCTGAATATCTTGTTTTGCTTCCTGAAACAAAGAGAATAAAGTTGGTGCCATTAAGCAAGATAAATCGAGAGTGGGTGTTTGGTTGTAGTAGTGGAGTCTTCAATATTGGGAAGAGTAACATGTTCTTAACTTCTGTTCAAGAATGGGGAGAAGTATATATTGAACAATAAATATATTTTACTAATTGCATTTTCCAAACATATACCCTATTTTACAGTAATCGCCTGGTAACTAATCTCATGGTTCTTTCCTTGGTTATAATTAATGTCTTCTTTTCAGTTTTTCTGATGATTAATTTTAGGAGGAGCACTATTAATTTCTTTACTTAACATCCTTTATTACTCTCTTGCTTTGTGCTAGAGAATTAACAGGGGCCGGAAATAGTAAACGTGATGGTTAATCTTGCATATATCTCTAATTTTTTTTCATTTATTTAGAGGGGCATGTACTAACACAGCCTGTGGCTCCAAGTGTGGTCAAACCTTTTAATCTCCTACTTATAGGGGAGTTTTTATACCACTAGATCACAAGGCCATTGGCTTGAATGTCTCCATTTTCATCTGTGCACTTATGTCATCTTCCCAATATATATCGGAATCTAATAAACTCATCCAGGTGACACTGGTGCTTATGCAACATTATGAACCACCTGTCCTCGCATGTGCTGTTAATGAGGTTCTTAATAAGATGGCAGGAGATAAGTCATCCCTAATGCCAAAGCTGTATATACCAATTATTGTGGATTCATCCCAAATAAAAAGGGATAGCAAATCTTTGAGATCCAATGAGACCAGAGCATTAGTTTACGGTATACAGATAAGTCAAGAAGGAGAAACCAATGAGACCTTACTCTCCAAAACCGTGAAACCACCATCCTCGCTGCAGATTCAGCATGAGACATTAGCATGTTGCCTTCACTTACTTAACGTGTTGAAGCTACCGAGCTTTTTTCTCATTGGACAAACAGGACAGAATCTACCGAATAAATCTACTGAAGAGTTTGAGGTACATATTTCCCTGAGCCTTTTTTTCTTAATAGTGGATTTTGTGCAATTATATATCCATGTGAAAATATCTACCGTGTGCAAATGGGTAGCTATGTATAATTACATTCTGCATCCTCATCCTCTCAAATAACAATACATCACAGTTTACCTTGTTTCGGTTGGCCCTATGTCAGTTTACTCTATTGTCGTTTAAAGTGGCTTATTCAAAATTTATTTGTTCAACTACTCTTTAACTGCCAGGTGATAATTTTTCTCTATTAAAAGTGATAAAAATTTCTATTTAAATGTTTCCCTTTTATCTTGAATATTTTTGGTGTTACAGACTAGGATTAAGTGACCAATTCCAAACAAATAATCAACTTACAACTCTTTTAAGATCAGCATAGGATGCTTTTAACAGTAAATTAGTTCATCATTTTGACTTTCATATGGTTACTTGGGCTAAAATTGTAGAATAAAAACACATTTGTATGGTTAAATGTTGATGCGAACAAACTACATGGGAGTTGAATGAGGAGCTTCAGATTAAACCACATGGAGGCCAACTGAATTCATGTTTGCGACCAATGCATAAACTTTAAGCCTTGAAACATTGCTTAGCTCGAAACAATTGAGTTAGCCTGGCTATTTATAGATCTTCACTGGGTGCCCAAAATAGAAAATAAATAATTAACTCCTTTTCTCTTGTAATCCACAGATTTATCTTCATCATCTAATCCTTGTCATTCTTTGCTAGATAACTCACACCATTGGCGAGATTTTGGCCAGCGCTACAGGCTTGAACTATTCAAAAGACAGTATGACATGGAATCCAACTAAGACATCAAGGGATAGCAAAGAGCCATGGCGTGCCTTATATGGTTGAGCAATGATTAGATGTACTCATGTTTTGACCATTTTGGTGCCTGTAATATACAGAACCTTTACTCTTTCTTGTTGGTGAATGTTTAAACATTTTGAGAAGGAAAAGGCAAGGACGATAGTACTATAATTTTGTTTAAAATGTCAGATAGGATAATATAATAGATGGCAAAATTGGCTTGGTTGATTTGAAGAATTCAAATGCGCCATTTATTGCTCTCGGACTAGATCATCAAGTTGAACCTATCGTAGAATATAGTTATAAAGGTATTATAGAGGCAAAGACACTTCCCCCCGGGGGGGCCCGCGCGGCGCACACATATATATGTGAATAACTGATTCTCTACCACCTTAATTGCATCGCTTTTTGCTAGTCGGCCCAAGTGATCATGTTTGAAACATTTCTAGTTGTTTTGCTACACGGAATCATAAAAGGTTGATTCTAAAATACTTCTCTGCTTCAAAATGTAGGCTTTATATCTGTGAAGTTTTTCTTTTTGTTTTTTTAATGAGCTTTAGTTTGAATTTGTGTCGCCATTTAATGTTTTTATAATTTTTATTTCTAATTAATTATATATCGCTATCATTTATTTTTTTCACTCATTCTCTCTCACACTTACTCCCTTCATAAATAAGTGTAGTTTAGGAAGATAAATTACTTTTTTTGGGGTTAGCGCTCCCAGCTAGAGAGTATCAATCAATTATCTCTCAAAACATCAATCAAGTTACAATAATCCTAGAACAATCATGTTTAGCGAAGTATTGTCTCTATCTCAACAAAAATGATCATAACAACCTAATTGATGTGTCTATTTTATACCTATAAAGTATCTACATGTAATGGTCATAAAGAATTTGGGTCATGATGGATGCGAAGGAGCCAGAAAGGAAGCTGGAAAACGTGCGAATTGCCAGATTTAGGTAGTATAATAAGCACAAAATTGGTTACAAAAGGGATGGAATGATTTGGAATCTTCTCTATGTGGAATACTCTCTCTTCCCTTCTACAACTTTCTTCACCCTACTTTCTGTTATTTCCAATATCATTTCTGTGATTTCTTTCCATTATGTATTTATTTCAGAACATTTATGCTATTTGAACAATGTATGCTTAAAGCTTGACTAATTCGATATATATTTTCCTTGATCATTTTTTGGCATCATTAGCTGATCATAACACCTCATTTATGCATTATTGAAAAATTAAGGACCTTATTAATGCTTGTGATGTAGGACGAAGTAGCTGCATTGAGGCGTAGTTATTCATGGTGGCTAATGGATCTATTGTCTAGGAAATGAAAGATTTGGATCTTAATTTCACACGGCTTGTCGAGCTCAAAAAAGATCCGATGGCACGTTAGTTGTTTCATATTAACAAATGTACTTAATCAGACCACCAGGAGTTGGGTCTAATAGAAGGAGTTTTTCCCTCACAACGTGATGAACAAGGTTCGAATTCCCACTAGAAGAGAAGCCTATGTTCAGTGCCTGCATCACACCTTACTTTATTACCCAATTTCACATCAAGTGGAGGCATTTGGAACCATTTCTCAAGTCATTAAATTGGAGAATTTTGAATTTTTAAACTTATTTTTTAGGATTACTATTCATTGTAACCCTAAATTCCTCCAAATTTTGAAAAGTCATAACTGATTCTAGAAAAATCAAAATTATATAGTTCCAAATCTTACTTGAAGCTTATAGTGAGATCTTTAAGGAAACTTCTAGCTCATGTGTGCCTAGTTTTAATGTCAAGATGTACTGTTCATTTGGTAAATTTTCTAATTTTTCAGAATTTATGCCCAATTTGGAAGGACACAACATTTTGTACAAAACTCCAAATTTTATGAAACACTACTCATTTTAAAGCTAAAAATATGATCTATTAGACTGTTAAGTTTCAAATCCAAACTCTGTCATTTGCTCAAAATTTCGTATGGTCAAACTTTGCCCTTAATTAGGTCAGCTTTCATCCTTTTTATGCAAAACTTATCCAAATGAAACCATAATCATCCAAATATGGTCTGGCCACATATCACAACATATAACAAGTAATTCTTCATAATTTACATCCCTTTAAGGTCATCCAACACATAGCCATAAATATTACGAAACTTGTATGCAGGGTTCTATATAAATCAGCATAATTCAATATAACTCCATAGTATATTTCCTTCATGGTGAGACCATTTCCTTGCTCTTGGCCATACCACTTGAGGGTCCTATTGGTTGTTTATACATAGAGAGGAATGAGATTTCATAGAAATCTCAGTAGCAAAGTAATTAAAACAATAATATCAAACAAGCAAGGTATATTATAAACAAGTTCATAAACACTTATTCACTTTTATACCAAACAAGTATCATTCCAATCCATTCAAAATTAACATGTTAATGCATATTGTCAAGGCATACAATGCAACCAACCACATGTCATCCTCATCAAATAATTTCAAATACAACATGGTATATATTCAAGAAATCACATAATGCAACAACTAGATAAGTTAACATTAAAATTGTAAATTCCATGCTACCGCTTTCCAATTCAAGATTTTTGGCCTCTTTGATCCCTTGATGTTCCTCCTTGTTTTCTTACTCAATGCTTATCAATTCATGCATAAATAGATGCCAAATTTTCAACCATAACACATAAAATACCATTAAGTATCTAGATAACTCTATAACCTACTTTTCTTTGACTTTTTGACTTTACTTTCCATCTTTGTTTTGACAAGTCTCAAAGGCCATCCTTACATAATTTTTCATGTAGAATCCAAATATCAACTTGGTTTTATCAAAATCAAACTCCTCCTTATCATAGTGAGCTTGGCTGAGTAGGGTGTAATTTAGGGTTAGAATTTTCATTTTTGATTCCAAAGCTTTCAAACACTTTCTTTTGACATATTCCCACACAAAAACACATTCTAAACTCATTAGAATTATCAAATTAAATTGAAACAATTTTTAACCCCATGAACCAAGCTTGGGCGAAATATTACCATACTTAGGGAACTTAGAATTTGTCACATCCCAAAAAATTTCACCTGGCTATAAGGGGTTAAAAATTGGGATGAGAGTCAATGTAAGACCTAAACGAGGAGATGAAACAACTTTTGATGTGAAATCCTGAAAAGGTCCAGACTGGCATTTTTCATAATCATCGGCCCAAGAAGGGCAAAACAGGAAAATTTGAGAAAAATTCTAGAAAATTCCTGAAAAATGAGAAAAGTGTAAATTGAAAGTTTTTAAAACTCAGTTGAGGCCCGAAAGGTGAAGTTTTGGTGAAAGCAAATTATTACAGAATTTCCCGTAAATAAAGGTTTTAGGGGAAATTATTGAAAAATTAAAGGAAAATAATTATTTTAACTAGCTGGAGGCCTCAATAAATATGGAAGAAAGATGGATAATTCATATAAATATTTATTTGAATTTATAAGATTAGTTTTAGGCTTTGGAAGCTTGGGAATTAATTTTAGAGAATTTATTTTCCCTCAGATTTACCAATAGAGGCCTAATCAGAGAAAATTCAAAATAAATACCTAGAGGTGGCAAAAAATTCTAAAAATTTCAAATCATATTCCTATATTAAAAGTGAATTATCATAGAGAGAAATAAATTTTTGAAGGTCTGAAAAAATTATGGAATGTTACTAGTGAATAATACTTAATAAAGTTTCAAATTGGTTTGAGATAGTACTTTGGTTTGTGGCCTATCTTTTTGGACCAGCCCAAACCTTTTGTGGAGTCCACATTGCACCCAATAAGGGCCCAATTTCGTGCAGCTTCCAAGTTCCTCTATTTTTAATTAAAATAAATGTGAAATTAAGGGATAATTGTGTGGAATAATCTAGATTATGGCCACTTGGGATGATCTAATTATTTTGGCACTTGATGACTGCCACATATACCCCTTGAGGTGTCCTAAATTTAGCCAATGGAAGGGGGAAGGGGGCAGATCAGATTTTCTATAAATACCCCCTCCTAAAATACAAAAAATGTTGGAAAATAGAAAAACAAGGGGAAGTTCCATCACTTTGTTTCCAGCACTCGCCAACCGAAATTCTTAAGTGTTTTGGGCAACGAATTACTCGGTTCTTACTAAGAGAACATCAAGGTATGTTTAAGCCCCCTTATCCCTAAGTTCTACACTATTTTGGTTAGGGTTTTGAGTTGCAAAATAAAGGGTATATGCTGTCAAATTTTCGGTCCATCAAGGATAGAGACATTAAATATCAAGTGGAATAAGCAAGATTAAGTGGTTTATGGATTGGTTTTTGGAAGAAAATCCACCTAGGGATATATATATATACACACATTTCGACCTATCACTGGTCATGCAGGAGTTGATTGTTTTGGCTTGATTTGATAATTCCAATGGCTTTAAAACATGTACTTGTGTAGGGATATATGGTTGGAAAGTGTTTAAAATTATTGCAATCAAAAATAGAATTTTTGGAGATATATAACCCCTTATTCGACCAAGGTAAATTCATGGGGAAGGAATGTGAATTTCAAAAAATTGATTGCACCATTGGATTCCTCATGAAAAATTGTGTAATGGGGAAGGAATGTGAATTTCAAAAATCTGATTGCACTATTGGATTCCTCATGAAAAATTGTGTAGGACTGAGTCATGAAGTTACTGGTTTTAAAGGAGGAATCATGTGGTTAAAAATCAAAGAAAAAGGGGGAATTTTTGAGTTAAAGTTTAAAGAATTGTGTTTAAGTTGTTTAGGGATTAATGTGACCTATGTTTATGCTTGGTTTAATAGGCATTGTGAGGAGGAACCGAGAGGAAGCTTTGTTCTTGAAGTAACCAATTGGACAAGTATTAAAAAGATAGTTTTGAATTACAATTTGATTGTTAATCTTGCTTGTTTAATGTGATTTGTTATTTGCTTGGATGGAGGAACTTGTGTTGTGGCATGAATTCATTGAATAACCTTGGTTTATACTTTGACCAAATGCATTGAATTATGCCATTGTAGAAGTGTTGATATTCCTCTTTTAGTATGACATTAAGCATGATTTGATGTGGCTTGTTTGTGTCTTAAGATGTGATAATATGTCACATGATAACTTGCTTGATTTGCATGATAATTGTAATTCAAAGGCTACTAAGATTTCTTTGAAATCTCATTCCCCTATGTTAAATTATGTCTCAAATAGGGAATGATTCATCCGAAGGCAAGGG